CATGTTTGTTTGCATTTGTAGTATAATTACATAACACAGCAACAATTATATGTATATTACTTTGATTCTAAATGCTTCTCTTTGCTACAAGATTGTAAATTCTGTGATGGCAGGGATTTTGTCTTATTCTCCTCCAACTTTGGATCCCTAATGCCTAGAACAATGTGTAGGATATAGTAAGTATTCAAAATAGATGGGTGTTGAATAAATACATTCATGCCTGAATGCAGGAATAAATTAGTGTTATTTACCCTACATGGAAAATTCTTTTTCTTCTCCCTCTTCCTTCTCTCACTTTGCCAAGTAAATTAAAATTCATCCTTCATATCTCAGCCTATACATTGTTGGCTAAAATATCTTTCTAAATCAAAACTTCATTAAAATGCCCCTCCACTGATTCTTTCTTATTCTAATTTAGCACATTATGTAGCAATGTTTATCTTTTGTCTATCTTCCTCACTGATTTGTAAGCTTCTTGGGATAGAGGCTGTGTCACAGTCATGAGAAAATCGCATTTCCTAGAACAATGACTAAGATCACAGAAAAAAAAAAACAAACTTGAAATCTTTTCCTGACTTGAATCTAGTTTTTCATTAAAAAAAATTAAGCAATGTCTTCACTTTTGTTCATTCTAAGAGTATCACATAATTCATTACATTAGTACCATGATAATATGAATTACTTCTAGGAATGACAGTGTCAGAAATAATTCATGGTCTGAGAAGTAAGATGAAGACAAGGATGAAGATGAAGAAAAGCAAGAGGAAAGGAGGAAGAGAATAGGACAGAGGAGGAGACAAAGAGAAGGAAAAGAGGGACTAGGGGGAACAGAATATTTGTAATATAAACATAAAAGCCGCTTTCCCCCATCTTCCTCATTTCACCTGTGCAGATCTCAGCGTTCAACAGTCCTAACTTTTATTGCTTTTTCACTCCAAAGCTCCAACCATAAATAGATTGTTCTAAAATATATCAAGAAAAATATTATTTTGAAGCATATCTAATTCTAGAACTACAAAATCCTAATGTGTTTTCGTTTTTACACAGCTTTATCAGAGTCAGTAGTCTTACAGCTGCCATTGAAAAATCTGCATTTTGGAAAATTTGAATAGCTTTCCATTTCTAGAAATGTCTGAAGACGGAGTAGATGAATAAACTGGTGAGTGTATTTCATCTGACTTTGATTTATATTTATACAGATTCTATAAACTCATTTCAAAGTTATTTTATCCAGCTTCAACAACTTGCAAAAATTCATTAGTAATGTTGATCCATATTTTTTTCAAAATTTTAAGAATTCTACAATTTGATCTTTGTCATCTATTACGAATAATTAAAGGTATCTCATGGTGCTAAATTATACAACCTTTATGAGTTGTTTAAAGAGAGAGAGACTTGATTGAAATTCAGAATATCAGTTTTAGTTGAAATGGAAATTATGTCCTTTATACAAAGACAGTATTTTTCACAGATGGCAAAGATGGTACTACTTAGTAGCATGAGAACCACAGTACACAGGCAAGAGTAATGGTAAACAGTCAGTAGTTCATGGGGACATTATTAGAGTGATTTAAGGGTTAAGAAACCTCTGAGAAGCTAATGATCAATAACTGTCAGTATTTATATTGATCAACTATATATAAAGCACATGGTAAAGTATTTGAAGCCCATACTATTAAATATATCCTTTGGGCAACAGAAATGTCATTAAATTTGAAGAAAAAAAGATGAGATAGTTTTTCATTTGATTTATGTTATTTAAAAGTTGAAATGTTTTAATATTAATGATTGCTTTCAGAATTAAAGGCATGACAAATATTTATTAAAATTATAAGTGCCAATAACTCCTTTGTTTTCCAATAAATTAATACAGACTTATTAATTGCATTTGGAATTTTTACTCTTAAAATACATATTAAGGTAAACAAAAATTATTATAAAATAAGGTTATATGGGAGTCAAATGGCTATGGCTGATCAAAGAATAATAATAATAATTATTATTATTATTTAATATCATCATATGAGTCCAATATTATTTTTGTATTAGAGGAGCCATAAGCAAAAGTAAGCACTCTATAATAAGAGTACACTTTTATTCTATTTCATCAATAAGTTTTAAATTATTTAAGAATATATTTTTCTCAAACCGAATTTTTTTTCTTATTCAATTATTTCCTCACAAATTACATATTATATGTTTACTTCCATTAGAATCTTTAGCTTTATCTAAAAAAAAAATACGGTTTTATTTACCTCATGAATTAAATTCAGGAAACAATATTTAGAAGAATTTCTGTCGTTAATAAAATGCAGACCTAGTTCTTCATGATTTTCCCAAGATAACTGTACACTGTACCTCATAGTCTTTAAAACGTTGATCAATACTGAAAATTTTTCTATTTTTGAGTATGGACAGAAATCATAGGTTTTTTTTTTTTTTTTTTAATTTATTTCCAGGAGAGAGAGAGACAGCGTGAGCAGGGGAGGGTCAGAGAGAGAGGGAGACACAGTCTCTGAAATAGGCTCCAGACTCTGAGCTGGCAGTCAGCACAGAGCCCGACGCGGGGCTCGAACCCACGAACCGCAAGATCATGACCTAAGCGAAAGTCGGACGCTTAACCGACTAAGCCACCCAGGCGCCCCAGAAATCATAGTTTTATATTTATTATTATAGTGATACAATAACTAATTATAATAATACAATACTCCTAACAAAACTGCCTAACACATTTTATGGTTTCATCTCTACAGTACTTTAAAGTGAATAAAATGCAGAAGCCCTACAATTTCGGATAAGCTAATGCTCTCCTTGTTCACACATCATGGTGAGCATCAGTGCCAAAAATCAAATACACAGATCTGATATTGTGTAGATCAAAAAATAAAACTGTGGAACCTATTAAAATATACTTCTTACTCTTGCATATGTGATTAAGATCACATCTAACCCTAGGTTCAAATTACATGGGAAGAAATGTCTGTTATCCCTAAACTTTTGTCATAAATATTATGTCTTATTGTTTCTTCTTTATGTAGTTGTTAAGTCCCAAATGATTATCACATATGTTAGCAAAAGCTTGAGATTTGATCTTTAAACATTCACTCAAAGTTTTCAGTTGATACGTCCTATTGTGAACATGTATAAAATTACCATGATATTCCTCAAAAGTAATATCGAACTATAGATCATGTAATGTGAATGTAGTCGTAGAGCTTACTGAAAGTAAGAGATAGAAGGAATGATGAAATAGCAATACATGAAAAAAAGATCCATGTTTACTCAGGTATGTTGGAGACTTCACTGACAATATTGTAAAAACTCAGTCATGGAGTAAATTCTACAAAAACAGCAGAGTAGTGAAGAGTAAAATAATGAATTGCCAAAAACTATATTAAATTGCATTAAAAAAACTGAAAATGTTGAGAACCACTGATTTACTGGATAAGTATTGGGTTCGAAATAGACCAGTTGTCAGATCCATGTTCAAATTCAATTTCTATCACATAATAACCACATTATTTTTGGTTCTGGTGTGTATATTTACCCATCTTTCTCCTGCTAGTGCCTGCTTCCTGGCAGCTGTATCCCACCACTGCCCAGGGACATCTATACATTGGAGATTCTGCTTAGAGGGCAAGGGCCTGAAACTCCAGTGGGATCTTGGTCCAAGGGAGACACCTCATCTCCAGTCAAGATGCCCAAATTAAGAGAGCCACAGTTTCTGGCAGGTAGGAAGGACATGTCATGGTGATCGGGGAGTCACTGGGACAGAAACTAAGACAAGTGCCCATCCTTCCTGATCCTACTGCCAGGCCAGCAATGCCCTTCTGCTTGCTCTGTTACTTACTCCAGAGACTGTCCCAGGGTGATGGAACATAAGTGCAAAATGCAGACACCACCCCCGTGAACCTACCCCAGGCAAACAAGATGGAGAATGAATTTTCTCTTTTATTACCTAAGTACCTACATTTTGCCTCTTGGCCTGCAAAAGCCTAACATTTACTATTTGGCTCTTTACAGTTCTGTGATGTCAGTGGAAATCCAATTGAGTGTTCCTCTTCAGCAATCACATACAGATAATGAAGGATTTTTTTTTTTTTTTTCCAAGCAACTTAGTGCCCCATGACTGAGTCTAAGCTCAACTATCTGGGACAACAATTGCATTTTCTTCCTATGTGTGATTTGTCTTCTCTTTCTTTACTTTCCTAGCTACAGAGGATGGGGGAAAAATTGAGGCATATATGAAGTAAGGAAACCCTAGAGCCAGATTACCACATAAAAGAACTTTATTTCTTGTTCTTTCCATTTTTTCTAAATTAATTGGGTTGGTATAGAGAGATACTTGGATAGAGATGAACAGATCATTATCCTCTTGCAGAACAAGAACCCTACATTTAACATCAAAGTGATAGTAAAAAACTGAATGTTTCCCCTAAAATCAGGAACCAGATTAAGAAGTCTTTCCTATCACTTCTATTCAATATAATACATAATATTTGAGCTAGTTCAATAGGCAGAAAATAACATAAAACAAAACAAATTAAAAAAAACACTTTTCTGCATTTGAATATAATATGATTACCTATGTGGAAAATCCAAATTATCTACCAAAAAGCTACTAGAAAATGTTATTTAAGCAGAGTTATACAAGTTTAATAAATAGAAACAAATCATATTTCTATAAGCTAATAACAAAAAAGTCAGAAATTGAAAAATATGATGTTCTTAGGTATAAATCTGACAAAACCACCATTGCATTTAATGGTCATCTTTCTTTAGTTTGCCTTAATCCAGTTGAGTTTAGGTAAATTATCTACTTCAAAAGCCACTCTCACAATTGTAGTATTTGTTATGGCAGCACACTCATCCACTATCAGAATGGCATTTGTTATCATTTGCTGTGTAAAAATTACCTAAATCTTCACTTCAGTGGTTCACTGGGACTGCAGACATCTCAATGCCCTACTGGGGAAAGATATGCTTTCACGATCACTCACCTATTTGTAGGGTTTTATTCCTTGATTGTTGTTGGCCAGGGCCTGCCTCAACAGTTCATGATATGGCAACGGGCTTCATCAGAACAATACTAAGAGTCACTGAGAGAGAGAGAGAGAGAGAGAGAGAGAGAGAAAGAGAGAGAGAGAATGAGATGGAGCAAGACAGAAGACACAATCCTTTGTTTCTGAATCTTAGAAGTGACAATTCATCACTTTTGCCATATTGTGGCAGGATTACCAGGAGGAAGGGTTTGTGTTGGGAAGCATTTCAAAACTGCCTACCACAGTTTTCCTCTGACTCCCAATAATTCATGGCCCTTCCATGCAAAAGACATTCACTTCCTCTCAAGCTCTACAAAATTTTCATCCCATTATGCCATGTCAAAGTTTACAGTCTCATTATCTAAATCAGATCCAGGTGTGGATAACCCTTCTGGAGTAGAAGTCCTCTAGATTTGTAAATCTGTGAAATTAAAAAAAAAAAAAAAAAAAAAAAGAAACAAATTTTCTGCTCCCATCACCCTATACAGACTTGATATACATTGGTAAAGCAGGCATGAGATAAATGCTATGGATACTCCTGTTCAAAATGGCGGTGGGAACAGGGATGGTGGGATAGGAGACACAAGGAACCCAGTGGTCATAACAATTCTGAAATTCACCTGAACCAATTTGGATAATTTTATTAGATCTCCAAGACCTGTGAGTAATTTTCTATGCTTCTTAGCTCCACTAACTGGACTCTTCCAATTGCCCTCTGAATCATCCTTTCTTTTCCTTTCTTCCCATGTGTTTACAGCTTAGTTGCTCAGTTATCTCCCTGCTGGTAGAGCTTTGGGAGCCCTAGAACCTCTATTATTTTATATTCTCCTTCTTCTTTACAGTCCAAGCTGCCTGTTTTTACAGACGACTTTCTCAAAAACTTCATGGGTGTCTGTGAATATCTTTGAGGTTTACTCCATTAGATAAAATCCACACCCACAAATATTTTCAAGACAATGAATTTTTTTTTTTTAATTTTTTCCATCTTGGGATCCTGCTTAGATTCCTTTAAGAGGCATAAAGCTCTTAAGCTTCTTAGAAGGGCTATTCTTCACATGAAAGTATCTTTCTGCAAACCCTTTACTTTGTAAAAGAGTCTTCTGTATGGTTGAATAATACTGTGATTCTTTTATCATTCCGAGGTCTTCATAAAAAGTTGTATGTTCACTTTGGGGTTATTTCAAGACCACATCTTTATGGTGGGTCTCAAAAGCCATTTCTTAATTTTAATATGTTTTCCTTTTTGGAGAGGCTGAGGGTTTTCAAACCCTGGTTCTTGTTGGTTAAAGATTTTCTTCTGAGTTTATCTCTCTCCACCTATATTTTATTATAAGCATCAGGAAGAAATCAGGAATCTACACCTTCAACTCTGCTTTGAATTCTCCTTTGTTACATAATGACATTCATTAGGCAAATGCTCTGAATTCCACATAACTGCAGATGACCATGTTGCTATTTCTTCTGACACTACCTGATAAGGATACATTTTTCAATAACATGTTCCCTACTTCATGTAAAGACCTTACTAGCAAGTCTTCAAACCCTATATTTCTATTAAGTCTGTCCAGAACAATTTATGCATTTGCTAACATGCTCTTCAAAATCCTTACAGTCTTGATACACTATTTCCAAAGCCATTTGCATACTTTTGGTGTTTGTTATGGGATTATCGAATAAAATGGTATATTTGTATACCATTAAGATATATCAAATGACATTGTTTTCTATTCTTTGTAACAAGTTACAAAATTAGTGATTTTAACCCACAACATATATTACCTCACAGTTTTTATAGGTTAAATACTCAAGTACAGCTTAACAGGGTTCTCTGCTTTAGGTTTGTTCAAGCCTGCAATTATGGTGTCAGTCTCAGGCTCAGTCATCTTAAGATTTAAGTAGGAAAAGATCTAATTTCAACTTCATTGACATAGCGGCTGGAAGGACTCCATTCTTCATAAGCTATTGATCTGAAGCCACCTTCAGTGACTTGCATGAGGGTTTTTCCAACACAGCTCACAATGAGGCAGCTGGCTTTCCCCATTAAAGCAAGCGTGATGAGAGTGCAAGCAAGACTGAAATTACATTCTTTTGTGAGCTATTATTAGTGACTTTCCATGTCCTTCATTGCATTCTATTCAATAGAAGCAAGTCAAAAGGCCCAAACTATATAAGATGTTACACAAGGGTATGAATACAAAGAGATGACTGGGAGCCATTTGAGGAGTTGGCCACTATACAATCACTGTGAAATTATACAATTACTTTGCACATAACTTCTGGGAAAAAGCATTCATTTTCACATTATACCAGGGAATCATAGAGGGGGGTGAGAAATATCCATTCAAGAGAGGCTATCTATGTAAACACAACTAAAAATTCACTGATGTGCTTATCATTTGCTTATCTTTCTAGTAATGGAGAAGAACAGACAAGGTGAGACTGACGAGCAAATCATAACTTCCCAATGCATTGAGGTTTTGGAAAAAAGAATTTCTAGAATGTATACAAACCTAAAGATATTATGATTTTATGAAATATCAAAACAAATTTTTACACCTACCAATCAATTAACTTTTCACTTTCCCTTCCCCAAAATAGACAGCTGCAATTCTTGTTAAGATTAAAGATAAAGCTACCAATCAAGCCTAGACTTTTCACTTTTGGGGAAAAAAAAACAAATTGTTTTACCCTTCTCATTTTTCAGCAATTCTGTTTAAGTGCTACTATATATGAAAGAGTTAAACAGATACACAAAATTGATGGAATGAAAGATTCTTGTTATAGTCTAAAATTTTGGGTCCTTTCCAAATTCATATGTTGACATCTTAACCTCCAAGGTGATGGTTTTAGGAGGTAAGGCTTTTAAGAGTTGATTATGTCATGAAGGTGAAGTCCTCACAAATGGGATTCGTGACCTTATAAAATAGGCCTCAGAGAGCTAGCTCGCCCCTTCTACCATGTGAGAATATGTGAGAAGGTGCCATCTGTGAGCTCGAATGCTTTCCTCACTAGACACTGAATCTACTGACACTTTGATCTTGGACTTCCCAGCCTCCAGAACAAAGAAATGTTTGTTGTTTATAAGCCACCCAGTTTATGACATCTTATTACAGTAGAATGAATAGAGTAAGAGAGATCTAAAGTATTATTTTTTATTGGTATTAAGTCTAAATATATACACTGGCAGGGTACACAATAACTTTTAGAATTAAAGGCATTTCTCAGGAGGAGACAAAGAAGGAAGTACAAAGCTGTAGAGAAAATATTTTATATGTTTCTGCACCATTAGGGCTTTCTGAGAAAATCTTACTGAAACCTGGAAACTGAACTAAAATAAAAGACAAGGCTTAGAGGTCAATTTATGATTGAATAGACAGAACTCCAGGGAGAGGTTTTGTTACATTTCAAGGGAGGAGAAGTCACAGGACCATAAAGACATCCTTTTGGTTTTAAAGTTGGAGACACTGGTCTTATTTTTCCCCTGGAGAGATTTATTTACTTACTAAATAGTGAGGACTCAGAATTTTTCTCATTAAATTTTCAAGGGTATTTCCTCAAAAGCTGAGGAGGGTAACAGCTGCCTTTTTCTTCTATGTAAACATGAAGAAACATCAAGATTCTTTCAAGATTCTTTTTTTTTTTCCTGTTTCTTTCTTTTTTTCTTTTTAGGTATCCTTGCTTACAGTAGACCCTCTTACATGTTGGATGATATTTGGTTCTGATTGCGTTACTGAGGGGTAAGAATGGGGGAAAAAGGAAACCAATACAATTACTGTTGTAGGTAAATGATAATAGTTTGCTTTAGAAATTTCACATTTGAATTTAGGATGATATTAACAAATATAGATATATAGAATATGCTCACATAGAGGTACTCATGAAAGTTATAACTATCTGTATTATCTTTTTTAACAAAATAAAGTCTAAAACAAATATAAATATTACCATGTTTAAAATCTGGTTAGGTATATAATGACTATTATATTGGCTTGATAATTTTAAAGGAAACAAATAAAAAAACCTTTTTGGTCAACAGTTTGGTAAGGAGCCCAGGGAAGTGTATGGAGGATAAGTTAAAGAAAGCTTTGACATTCACATACATACATTCTTCCATGATGGAAAATGAAGGCAGTAATTTCACTTTAAAATATATAAGGAGTCTGCTTTTCAAGGGAGCAGGATTAACTGCTTTCTACTTACAAACCTGTAGGAAGTAATTCAGAGTATTTAATATTCTGATTGGACACAGCATCCTTAGAATACTAGAGTTTTAATTAATTTTTAAAAATAAAACAGTCACTTTTTCCCAAACAAAACTTATTCAAAAAGGCTATTATTTTCTTACAATAATTTTTATAAGTTTTGAAATGGATGATTTTGGCTATAAGGATAATATTGTCATAAAAATGGCCAAGAGGCTAAGCGAGTGTGTTATCATGAAATTTATATGTCACATGATGCTCATGGAATTTAAAAAATATATACTTATTAAATAACCATAAGGGATCATATGCTTCCATTTGCAGCAGTTTACAGTGCTAATTTCAAAACAGGAACTTCTCTAGATTGGCATAACTTCCCTTGAATAGTTTAATTACTAATGGTAAACCCACAGTCTACTTATTATTAATTGCTAGAGCTGCTCTCAAATCCCATCACTAGTCATTATTTTTAACTTTAATATGATTGAGGATTTACCTGTGGGGATCTAATTAAGGGAAACAGAAAATTTAACCATAGAGCTCCATGATTCTTAAGTCATTAGTCAGTTTACCAGTAAATCAGTTACTAATATGTTCAGCTGGAAATAGTAGATCATGGAAATTTATTTGAATCACCCAAAAGATGTCAAGAGACACAAGGCAGTCCAGTAGTCATACCGTGTGCCCTAGTGAATTAATAGAGAATTCATAATCTTTTTATATCTTTATTCTACTAACATTAATGTGCTACTTCTAGTCCCATGTTTGATGCTTCATGGTTTCCAGATGGCCCTTCCTGTTCAAAATCATACATTGGTGTTACAGATAGAGAAAAGATGGAAAGGGAAG